TCACTGATAACAAAAGGTAGTTCTATGAAGAAACCACGCTGTGATATAGCATACCTTAGACTGCTGTTTTTTATTAGCGTTCTTCCATTTGTTGTATCGACCAAACTTATTCTCCTTAGACGGACCTGCTCCTTGCTCATCACCATCTTCGTCATTCTGTAGATACAAGTGCAAAATCAAATTAGTAACGAATCGCACTAATAGATGTTATTAACTACAAACCGTGATTAGTACGTAAGCATTGAGGTAAAATATGCTTGCCTTTTTGTAGCCAAGTTTTTGCTTCTTCTTCCAGTCCTCATATCGGCCAGTCTTATACGATGCAGGTAACCATGTTCCATCTTCAGTACGTATTTTCTTGTTGTCCGGTCCATCTCCGGAGGCTCCAACGTAGCGTTTCTTTTTTCGGTCCCTAAACAAGATTGTCAGTTCTTATAAAGGAACTGAACGTTAGGAATTTTTTCTTTTGAAGAAACAGTACTAAGAAAGAATAGACATGTGATAAAAGCATGTGATAACCTTGAGGAGGATCGGAAAGCAAGATAAGTAAGATCCATAAATCTCACCATCGCTTCGCATGCTTTTGCTTGTACATGCCTTTATCATCATCAGCAAATATCTCAACAGCTGCTCCATCAGCTTGTCTAGCGAAGTCCACCTTATCAAGGGCTAACTGTTTTTCTGACTCGTAGTCTGCTGACGAATAAGCAACAAAATGTCGAGCCTTAAAAAGTAAAACCTCTATCAACCAGCTACAACCGCACTGAATTCAAGCGGTAGAAATACCTTCTCACGTCGGCGCTGCTCAGCTCTGTCTACCTTATTTGATGTTTTAGCTTTAGTCGCTTCTCCAGATAATCCACGGCCAACGACCTCAGTGAAGACCTCAGACTGCAAATGAGTATACGGGAGCTTACCCTTTCATTTTCAATAAAGTAAAACCTACAATGGCAGACTCGTCTGCCTGTATGGCTATTGCCTTTTCAGGACCGTTTTCTTGATTACCAAGTAATTCTTCCTTCTTTTTGGCTTTTTGTTCTTGG